CTTAGTGCACTTGCTTAGTATTTAGAATTGTAACAACAATAAACACTGATATAGTCAACTTTTTCCTTGGTGAATTTTGATCTGCATTTGGCTTGTCTATTAATAAGGAAAAATCATGTTTTCTTTTTCAAGAACTGTGATTCTGAGTTATCCCATGAAATTAGCCTCAAATTAGGAATTAAGCTCTCTTCCCAGTTTGAAAAATACTTGGGTATCGCTATCAATCACACCAAACCTGTGAAGCAAGATTTTAGCTTCCTAATTTACAAGATCAAGAAAAAACTCCCTTGCTAAAACATGAATATGTTATCCATGGTTGGTAGGATTATTTTGGCTCAATCTTGTATTATGAGCATCCCTTCTTATTTTTTGCAATCCATGATCATCCCCAAAGCTTTTTGTAATGAAATTGACAATATATACAAAAATTTCATTTGCGGATCCTTGGGAGGTAAGAAATATCACTTAATTGGGTGGGAAAAAATCTATAAATCTAAAATTGATGGGGGGTTGGGCTTTAGAAAAACTAACCTAGTTAATCAAGCCTACATTATGAAATTATGCTAGAGGCTCATCAGCTCTTCCCCCCCTCCCCTCCCATTTTCCTGTGGGCTAAGGTGATTAGGAATAAATATAAATTTACCCTTAGAAAGAACCTTAATACTGTAAACTATCAGAATTTCTCTCACCTATTGAGTAGCATTCTATTTATGTGGAACCTATTTTATAGCGGGCTAGGTTGCATCTTAAGTGATGGGTTAACCTCTAAATTTTGGGTTGATAGATGGGTTGACACCCAAAAAGCCTTACAAACTCTACCTTGCAACATATTCATGTGATTGAGTTAAATGAGTCTGTTGCTATGTTTGCCCATAATGGCTAGTGAAATTGGGATATTAAGACCCTACTCCCTGAATCCATATGCATTTTAATTTCTCATAATAACCCACTAGCCATGCAAGGGGTCAAGATCTATTATTTTTGAATTCTACTGGTAATGAAATTTTCTCCATTAAATCTGCATATAATCTCATTTCTTCCTCTGTTCGACTGCAGGTTTCATATCAAAATATCTTCAACCTTGTTTAGAAATGGGCAAGTTCCCCTAAAATCAATATTTTCCTTTAAAAATAACACATAGCAGACTCTTTACAAATTACGAAAGATGCCTTTGTGGGTTAACTAATTCTGCTATTTGTACCAGGTGTAATGAAGTTGTTGAGTCCGTTATGCATGTACTTAGGGAATGCTGGGTGGCACAGCAAGTTTGGAACTAGTTAATCCCTCCTGGCTAGTCTTTATTCTTCAGTAAAGGGCTATTAGCTAGTTGACCTTTAATCTATCCAAATGTAGTTTTCTTTCGTATCCTAGTAAGAATTTATTGTTTGGAATTTGTGAAATAGCATGAATAGGGAGATCTTTTAGAACTCTTCCCTTAACAGTGAATCTCTTCTTCAAAAATTTAAATTTTATTTTGATTTCCTTATCTTTTGTGGCAGGGATAACCATAGGGTGAGATCTAATTAGCACGAGATTGAAGCTTTAACCAAATGGTAGCCCCCTATGGAAATGTAATTTAAGCTAAACGTTGATGGAGCCTCATCCCAAGCTGCTCGAACTATTGAATGTGGTGGACTCATTAGGGATATCAAAGGCAGGCTCATTGCTGATTTCCACAATTCTTTGGACCTATGTTCCCCCATTATTGTTAAACTTTGGGACGTGTTTTGGGGTTTATAACTTGTTGTGAGTAAAAAGATTCAACTTATATGGATTGAATGTGATTTTAAGGAGGCTATCTCTCTTATAATTAATCTTCAGAACTATAATCACGCTCTATTTTTTGTTGTTAGTGAAATTAGGAAGTTACTTACAGGGATTAAGTTTATTTACTTTTGCCATGATATTAGGGAAGCTAATCAAGCAGCGAACTGGCTGGCAAAAATTGAGTCTAACTATGGAGTATCTTTTACTTATTTTGAGGAAACAATTTTTTATTATCCTTTTTAAATCTAAATTTCTTAAATTTTTGGGTGCCTAAAATTGTAACCTAATTCACTGTTTTTTATTGGGCTTTTAGCCCCATTTATAAACAAAAATAATAATAATTTATTCATCTTTTTTTTTTACATTAATTGATTTTAGAACTAATGTAAAAGTTATTTATTATATTAGTTTAGTTATAAAAGAACTAAGGTAAATAAATTTTTATAAATTTTTAAAATATCACCATCTTTTATTTTATATCAATACTTTTAAAATTGATATAAAATCTTATTATAAAATAATATTTTTATGCTATTATTTATATATATAATTATCTATTAATTATTATTTAAAATTTTTAATTTCTTATAAAATTTCCAATAATCACTTGTGAATTTAAATAATCAATTAGACAGTCAAAACTAAGTTTGACTACCAAAGAAAAAGAATGCTTAAGTAAAGAATGTTAATATCATAGCCATTTAAGTAAATTTTTTTCACATATTTTTTTTTATTGACCAATCTTTTAAAAATTTAAAATAATTTTAAAAATAATAAATGTATGAGATAAGTATTTTTCATAATTTTAATAGAATAATTAATCAAGAAAGTATGTAAAAGAAACTTTTTGCTGTTATTTTTCAAAAATAAAGCAACCTAACATCTTGCGAGGAAACAGGGATATTTGGAATTTTTCTTTTTAATGAAAATGTTATATAATCTGAAAAATATTTTAAAATATTTAAAATTTATTAAGAAAAATATTATAGTAAAAAAACTATTTTTAAGATTATTTTAAATCATTTTTTAATATAACCTACTTATCCTTCACACCAATTTTTTCACTTATCTAAACAATGAAATAATTTTTTTTTAATTTCTTTGGTTCTTGTTTTTTATATATCCAATCATCATTTTTTTTTATTTTTCTGTATATTGTTTATTTATATTATTGCCATATCATTTGTGCTTACATGATAAAATTTAATTAGAAATATAAAATATATTAAATTATATATTTTCAAAATTAATAAAAGTATATTGTTATAATAACTAACAAAAATATGAGATAAAGATATATTTATGATAAAAATAATTTATTTATAAATAAATTAAATTATTAATGCATAATATAAGTCTTATTAATTATAACACAATTAGTATGAAAAATTAAAATTATTTAATACTTTTGAATGAATATTTCATATCATAGTTTAACATAATTTTTTTAAAATTTTTAATTTCTTGGTATAAAAAAAGTTTAAGTGATTTTGATTTTGATTATAGATAAAATTTATTAACAAATTTAATTTTATACATCAAATATATAGAATAAAATTATTTTTTTTTCTTATTGCTGATTAATTTTAGTAATGTGATATTTATACAAAAGTTTCCTTTACAATGAATATTTTGTTTTTAATATTTCTTCATATTTTAACATGAAAATTTATAATTTATAATTTCTTGTTATCAATAAATTTTAAGTGATTTTTTATTATATATTAAATTTATTAACAAAATTATTTTTTGTACATCAAATATATAGATTAAGTATTTATAAAAAAATTTAATTTGAAAAATATATATGTATGATATTATTTCACAATTTATTACTTGTTTATAATTTTAAGTAAAATATTATAAATAACATTTAAATATTAAATATTAGTAGATTAACTTCTTAATTCTATCGTCTCCAACTTTTTTTTTTTGTTATTTCAAACATAACAAAATATTTATTAAATTTTATTATATTAAATTTATAAAAGTATAATAAATAATTTTTAATAAAATTGTATCATTATTAATTATTTATCTCATCTTTAAAAATTGAAGTTAATAAAGAGTTATTACCTCCAGTCCATTTTATAAAAAAAAAGACTAAATTTCTAAAATTAAAGAAAGTAATTAAATCACTTATATTTTCTATAAATATAAATTTTATTTTAAAAATACCTATGATATTAAATGTTGTAGTAGTAATTTGTACAATTAATGATACTAATAAAAAAATAAAAAAAAATTAACAATTAATACTTCTTAAATCTATCATTTATTTTTTATAATAAAAATTAAAAAATTATTTTATTTTATTTCTTATAAAAAAGATCGAGAGTATTTTATAGATTTAATTTTAAAAGTGTCCTTTCCCTCCTGTCCTATTCGGAGTTTTATTTATTTTTAATTATGTAACCCTTAACGTTCTCCTCTTCCTCGATGTCTTTAGTTATTCTTTTTACTAACATTGGATTTCTCATAGTTTGCTTGTCATGCAATACTTGTGCCAATTCCAAGTAAGAATAAATAAATTATTGGCTAAATAGGAAGTTAAAAGAAAAATAATAAATTAACTCGTAAAAAATAAGTTTTGGCAGTGTCCTTTTCATAGTTGCTCCCTACCTTTTTCTCTCAACAACCCCATGGAATCAAGTATGAATGAAAAAGAGGAACAAGAAGAGAGGATGTCGCTCGTAGTTACTTTCATAGTTTTTTTCCTCTTCTCTATGATTATGTTATCACCTGTGAGAATAAAATCTCAAAACTCATGCGCAATCTTGCCAGATTCGCTGGTGGGTTAGAGAGGGAAAAGGAGAAGGAAAAAAGCATTATCGTGTCCAATTTTGAGAAAAAAAGAATGTGGTCTTATGTGATCATTATTTGAAATGATAAATTGATATTTTATTCCATGTTATCCCATACAGTGTCGGCTTTCGCAAACATGTTTTTACTGAATAAGTATATATCTATTTTAAATTTTAAAATTATAAACGTTCGTCAATCTTTTACATTATAAAAAATTATTTTATTTTTTAATATTTTAAAATGATTTATCTTAATTTGTTTTAATTTTTTATTATATTTTATATAAAAAATATAAAATAAATATCGTTTTAAAAAATCAACCACTAAAATAATCAGCATTCATAATTTAAAGAATTATATTTACTCTCTTTCAATACTTGGCCTGGAACGTGCAATAAGTAATCTATCTATCATATTCTTCTAATTACTCACTCTACTACGAGTTTACAGCCATCCATCACTTCAACAATTCTTAGCATGCGAGCCATTCCTTGTGAGGGTTGCTGAATCTGCACTTTTCTTAAGGATGTCAAAAACCATATTTCAGATGGGAGATCATCCAACCAATGACATTTGTCGATGAGCAGACTCTGAAGGCGTGGCATTGAACCTTTGCCCAATGTCCATTTTCGAACAGCCAATTTTTTCATCTGAAACACCTCAAGTGTTGGAAACTTGTTTGCCAAGCATTTAAGATCAAAGTATGTAGTCGCTGAACCTCCGAATAGTCTCAAAATTTGGAGTTTGGTGAGGTTTCCCAAAGCATTCACCCCGTCATCATTCAAGTAACTAACGCCTGTTAATGTTAACTTGGTAATGTTTGGAGGAAATGTGGCCCCACACATTAGAAGGTCCATGGCATTGTCAACTGTCAACGCACTCAAATGACTCAATGGCTCTAAGCTTTGTAACAGTTCTTGTGGCCTACAATTCACGTTCCTTTCCATGCTGGCCCGTTTTGAGGGATCTGAGCTTGTATAGCTCTTCGATCTAAGGACAATTTGCAACTTGTTCAAATGACTTAATTGTTGAAGGGTTAGCAACAATTTGGGCAATTTATCCTCCTCGCCATTTGGATAGAAATACAACCCCAAATTTTTCAGTTTGGGGAACCCACCTTCCTCTATCATATACGTCGTTCGTGCGTTGAGTGCAATGCAAGAGATGGTTTGAAGATTCAGCATAACTTTGTTGTTGATTTTTGTAAAGTGTCCTCGTAGCACAATTGGGCGATTTGTATACAAATGCCTTAAATGCTTGAGCTTCCACATTCCACTGGGGAAAGAAATACTGTTCCCACGGCACCACTGCCCCAAGTCCAAGGTTAATAGGTTCTGAAGGTTGAATAAAGAAGCGGGAATATTGATGTCTCGATAATCCGACTCTATTCTCAAGTACCTTAGGTGGATGAAACCCCCTACGTTGGAAGGGATAGTATTGCAGAGGTTCCTCCCAAGATCTAACACCCGAACCAATTTGAAGCCTTTGAAGAGCCATTCCCACTCGCTACGAGAAAACTTGTAGGATAGGTTGTCCAAGTAGAACAAAGAACGAACACACGAGTGGTTGTTGTTGTTTGAAGAAATATAGTGGTTTATGCTACAATGGATGGACAACCTACGGGGTTTTGTCGGAGTTAGAACGTTAGTATCCATGCAAACTTCAAAAACCTTGTCCTTTTCGCTCTCGGATATGCAGAGGTCCCGAAGAAGATCGTGGATGCGACACTTTTTCACACCTCCACTGACTTTCAATCGTGCCACCTGAACCAAACTACGATCAATGAGTTCGTACAAGTAGTCTTCAGCAACATCCTCAGGATCCCTACTCCCCGATTCTTGAATAAACCCTTCAGCAACCCATCGTTCCAACAAAGGCCTTACAGGAATTTCAGAGTCTTCAAGGAATATCCCAAAGTACACAAAGCACGGCTTCAACCTTTTAGGGAGGTTGTCGTAGCTGAGTTTGAGTATATCCTTGACGCGAGTCTCATCTCGAGTAAGATACCAGTTGACATGACCCACCACTTTGGACCATTCTCTTTGTGACTTTTCCTTATTTGCTAGAAGCCCTGCCAGTACCACAATAGAGAGTGGCAAACCGCGACAACTTTCAACTAATTTTTTGCCCAGAGGAACTAGGTCAACAGGATATTCTTCTCCCCTGAACACTTTCTTGGAGAAAAGCTCCCAACTTTCTTCTTCATTGAGAAATGGAAGGAGATAAGGAGGGTCTCGGCTGGTATGCGAGGCCACCTCTTTCAAACGACTTGTAATCAATATTCTGCTACCTCTGGTGTCATTTGGAAAAGCATCTTTTACCTCGTCCCAGTCTTGGGTTTTCCACAAGTCATCCAGTACCAGTAAATATCTCTTCTTCTTTAAGTATTCCCTCAGCATTCCCTTCATTTCGTCTTTGCTCAAGCTAGAAATGTCTGCAACCTCGAGTTTATCTATTATTTCCTTATGCTTCTTGCTTTTCCATCGCATTTCTTTTGCTTCATCCTTGCTCAAGCTATCGCGAGGTTTATGGCTCTGCATCAAATGCTTCAGAAGGCCAAGCATAAGTTCCCTAGCTCTGCAATCATTAGATGCATAAACCCACGCGCGAACGTCGAAGTGTTGTTTCACTTCGTTGCTGTTGTACACCTTCCGTGCAAGGGTGGTTTTTCCTAATCCACCCATGCCAATGATTGAGACCACGCCACGCGCCGAACCCCCTTCCACGAGCCGCGTGATGAGTTGCTTGGAGTCACGGAAAAACCCCACGACCTCGTTTTCCTCCACGTTTCTTCTTCGCTCGTGGAGTGATTGCACCCTCTCCTCGTCTTCTCTTGCTATGGATTCTGTTAGCAATCATGATTAAAAGAATAAGATGGTACATGAGTTGCAAAGATGAAATAACATGGGACAATTATTTGATATAAGAATTATTATACTATTGTAAGTAAGTATTTGGTGTGATTAATTCTTCTCTTCCTACCTCTGTCATATTCTTCACCTTCTTGGAACTGGAGGTACTTAATTCTGTTCTGGCAAATTTCATTGATAGTGGCTTTTGTCTTGTCTATTTTCTCGGCCAAGTGCCGAAGCAACTTGGCATGGTTCACGACGTGAAGCGTTCTCTCCAGGATGCTTCTCTTCTTGTGTGCGGCCACGTTGGCGATGAACGTGTCCACAACGTCTTCAGCTTCGTAGGCAACGTCTCTAATTTGGTTCACAACTGTTTGCTCTATCTCGCTCTTGTGCTTCTTCCTCCCGAAGGTTTTGAGGATCTCGTTTATCATTTCGAGTTCGTTGTGGAGGGATCTGATTCTGTCCTCCACGCCAGAGAGTAACTTAGCTTCGTGTGCTAGAAGCTGGGACAAGTGATCTAAGAGGAAGGCAACCACACTATCTGCCATCACACCAATAAATCTGTGCTTAGAAAGTGATGAAATTTCGGTGGTGGTGAGGAGTGAGGAGTGAGGAGTGAGAGCTCAAGAACCAAGGGAAAAGGACTTATATAGTCTCCTTTTCTTGTAAATTTCTGATACGTGGCTTGATATTGTAGCTAGCAAGTCAATAGGATTATATCAGGAAATTGCGTGGAAAGTGTAGAAAGTCTGGAAAGTTATCCAACTGAAAGACTTGGAGTCAAGACGCCGTGGCAACAGTCAATGGAACGTACGGTTGGGTGCGTCAGTTGCACCTTCGACCTATCTACCTACATTATATGCGCTTAATTAATACTTATTTTCGAAGCTTTCTAATATATAAGAACAGTACGTAAAGTCTCTATCCATGTGGGTTGAAGAAAAAGCACGGTTTTAATAAAAGAAAAAGAGGGAGAGGGACTTTTTGTTTGGTTTGCAAAGAAAGGAAATGGAAAATAAAATAATTTAATATACCCTACCTCTGCTGTGAAATATTTGTTTAGAATATCTATGGAATTTGACTCGTGTAAGCTAGAGTTATGCCGCTTACGTACAATCATAAAATAACAATTTGAGATGCCGTACTACTACTTCAATTGGTAGTGATACTCTTAATCCCTCATTCTAGGGGTTTGATTTTGCTTATGGTACTTCATTTTTATACTATAATTTCTTCCTTGATGAACTTTATAAGTTGGATTCAAGGACGATGAGATTATAAAGTGATTTGATGAATTCCAGTGAACTTTCTGAGATTATGAAGTTGAGAGGTTCTTCATTTTTCATTATCTTCACTTAGGGGATATTCAAGTTCCCTCAATTATGCAGACTCATCGAAAGGGGCCCGGAAAACAAAAGAAAGAATATTAAGAAGAGAAGTAAATAAAAAGCGTACATCTCTCTTAAAAGGGACAGAAGAATACATCTCAAACATAAGACAAAGGTATAAAGAACTTAATTGAATTTTCTTTTCACTAATATTAACCCTTCATGTGAAATATCGGCTGAATGCGCACCACATAATCCATCGAGTATGAATGAACCAATTGGCAGATGAAGGTTTTTGAACGTGTCCAAGCTGTATAGAGCGGTATAGAGCCTTCAAGACGCAGCATAAATGACCCTTGACTGGAGATTAGGCAGCTAAAAGTTGACTTGATGAATATTTTCCTTTTTGTCTAAGAATTCTTACATTACAGTATTAGAAATTGATGCTGCCACTGCTTACAGTCAATTTTCTTATCCGGAATTTCAAGCCCATAATTGAGAATTTTATCTTTTATTTTTTTTATCAAATAGCGTAATTTGTAGCAAATTCTATAAGATAAATGTCTTTCGTTTATTTATTCTATTACCTTGAGCGTGCTAACCCGTCAAATTACTACAATTTACGACGTTAACTTCTGCACTTCAAGGTTAAGTTAAATTTGACCCCAAAAAAAGGGTTAAGCTAAACTAAAACTCCCAGACCCAAAGGGTTAAACTGAAGCTCCTGATTCGTATAACACCTAATGGAAAGAAGTTGTTACCTAGCAAAATATACATTTACTGAAGTTGGAAGTGTTCTGAGTCATTACGAAAGAGTCTAGCAAGTGCTCCAACCCTTTTACAACAGTTGATGCCTTACGGTTTCACTCCCTCCCATTATACTTGTATGATTCAACAGTTGCTCGCTACTTTTAGGTACTATGTATCTCTTTCCACTTTTCCCTTGAGCGGAAAAAGGAAACGAGCAAGGAACAGATTCCAATGTGTAATGGTGTATCATAGGTAGTGAAATTATTTACTATATTCATCCATTTATACACTCAGGCTAAGCACCAAGGCTTTCTGTTCTGGGAACATTTTCGCATTTCAGACTCGGCTCTCCGTACATTTTCAATAATGGGTTGAATTCTTTTGGACAGTTCCTCGGTTTCCTCTTCAACATTGTTTATGAAGCTGAGTAGTTTTTCTCGATACACAGCACACAGTTGATCTTGGCGCTCTAACTCCATAGTAAGTTCTGCAATTTTCTTATCTTTATCACCCTACAAGTAGAGGAAAAATGATCATTTGGAAAGGCATTCACCCCAAGATCTAATAGAATTGGAATAGAAAGTGAAAGATAATAACAAAAAGAACAAAAAAAAATTGGTCACAAAAGGTTCCTCCTCAGAAGAATTAATTCTAGAGAAACCAGGAAGTTGAGTTCATATGTAAGCTTTTTTTCTCAGTAAGTATATGCACTTGATAGGAATGGGTAAAAAGGGCCCAAGCCCAAATAGAGGGATGTGGAAATTAGCTCCAATTAGGGTGTGTATGTAGCATGTGGAAGGGAATGCAAGGAGAGAGGGAATAGAGTGGATACAGCATTGTGGTGGTTTCTTGTGAAGCAGTTTTGCTTGGCAGAGAAAGTCTAGAGCATTTCTCTGATGGAGCCAGAGGCTCTAGGCTAGTTAGAGTTTACCTCTACTAGAATATTGGTTCTGTAATTTGCATTTTAATCAATACAATCCTAGTTCTCAGTATAAATTTGAGGGTTCTAACAGTAACTTTATGTACCTAGCATCTAATTTAATATGTATCTAAAGTCATCTATAACTCTCCAACTATATGCATTACTTATTAATTATCCACCCCGGGCATTTTATATAAAGAGCAGAAAGATAAGATAGCACTATAATTCAACAATGATAACCTCATTTCTCAGTAGATTTCCTAGGATTGAATGAATATCACTTGGTCAAAGAGGTTATGAACCATGTTAACCACCAATCCAACTCAAAAGCTTAAATTGTTAGGTGGAAGCACATCATTGCTAAGATTTCCATCACCATTCTCCAGAAAAAATCCTTGTGGGGTCACACCACAGGGCTTGAGGTAAGGCAACTAAGTTTAATTTTCTCCTTTTCTAATAAATTTCCTATTGCCAACAAATTAAGAAAGTCAATCATGTGATGAAGGGTTGGCACCATTGCTACCCAAAACTAGAACATGGCTTAATCTCATACTCTTTCACTGTCATTCCAAGCTTGATTTCAATTGTAAGCCTCATAATAATACAAGGCATCTCTCTCCTATATTTACTCTCACATGAGCCTGCCCTTGTTTTTCTAACTGAAACTACTACTTTTTCTTATTTTTCTCTCTCACTAGTCTTAAAAAAAATAAACAGTTATCATTTTTTAAGGGTGAAGGATCAGATTACCACATAAACTACAACTAGTTCTACTTGAGCTGTCCAAGTCCATTCCCAATCATCTTCCAATAATTAGTAGATAACATCTACTTTATGCCATTACATTTTGTTGTTACTTGGTAGGGTAATATATAAGAAACAAGTAACTTCAGTCATTATCTACTAATGAAGGTTGATTATGAATGCTGGTAAAAAAAATGGACGACAAACTATTTTAAATAGTAAATGTTCCTGCATTCTTTTTTGGTATAATAGTTTTTTCGAATTTATATTTCTACATCTTCTTAGTGTACACTATGTATATATTTTTATCACAGGCTTGTTAATTGTGAACTCAAGGATGGTATACTATATGATATCATAGCAAATTTAAGAGTCAGGTGATTTTAACTTTCAAATTCAAATACATGGATGGGAAAAATAGTTTCAGTTAGCCAAGATAAGGGCAGGGGCGTGTGAGAGTCAATAGAGGAGAGAAGGTGTAGTTGGGATGATGAGTGGAAAAGTCAGAGTATTAATTAAATTGGAAAAAAAATGACATTATCCACTACTTTAAATTGTTTTAACACAAAAGGGTGCGTTTTTAATCCAAGAGAAAATATGGAGGATGATAACCTACATATATATGTATGGAGGTAGCAATCATCTGTGTGTGTATGCCTATTATCACTTTCAAATTGTACACAACAAGTTTACACCTAATAAACAATGTAGAATTATTTGAACAAGAAGAAAACACACCTCAGTGCTGAACCCATTAGCTGTAGCAATTAGAGGATGGTTGTGATCCTTTATAAATCTTGTGACAACCCATTTCCCAGACTTTTCCAACTTCACCAAAATTGTTGCCTTGCAACCTTCCCGGGCACTAGGTCTTGGCTTTTTCTCTGGCCCCAAAGTTCCCTTGTTATTTGGTGAAAATCCTTGTTTGTTACATCCAAGTCGGCGAGCAAGAGTCCTACCATCAATTCCAGAACGCCGTCGTTGCATAATGCGTACAACAAATCCTACCCGTCTGGCATATTCAACATAAAACTTCCTAGCAGCTTCTTCAGAATCAAATTCCATGCCCACATATGGCTCTTGAACCTCAACTCCTTCAAATATACTTGTACTCTCTTCTAGACAGCTATATTCTGCTTCATTTACCTTGTCCAAATCCACTACCAGAAAATCATGAGTCTTCCATTTTGTGTCATCAAGATATACGTTTTCAAATATTCATGGTCTTTTATACATAAATATTCAGTGTTTTTGAGTTAGCAGATGCATTATCAATCCACCATAAGTGTGTCCCACAAATTCAGTGAAAATTTGAAAATAAACCTTGGCTTAGATATATTTCATGTTTACTGAGTTTAGAAAACATACAAATGAAATATCTCCAGACTATTCAGAAATTTATTTTCAGCTAGACCAAGACAACTTAACCTTAGTGAAAGCTTGCTTTGAAGGACCAAAGCATATGAGAAAGGGAAAGGAGGAAGCAAGGAACAATAAAATGAATTTCATTTTAAAGAAATTGAGTCAAATTAATACGTAATACAAATAATGTAGTGTACAGGAATGTGCTTAGCTGGGAATTTTGTTTCAAAATCTCTCTTAGGAAGATTAGCAAAAAAAAAATGATTATTTCTTTAAAATAAGTAGAAGTGTTAGAACCATATATGTACCAGATATTTTGTCCTAGAGGAAGATTAAATGGCATAATAAATTTATCCAATGGAAATCCACTGATCCTGGCACATCCATCCCTCTATTTCCCTTTGGAGATGACAAAAAGACAATAGAAATTATTACAACCAACCTAAAGATTTACAAAAGCTGCCCATGGATGCAAGTACACAATGTTTGTAGGAATTATAAAAGAAAAGGATAAAAACTAAGCCTGTTAAAGAACAATGGAATAGAAAGGATAGAAAAGCAAGTTGTTTCTACTTGTTTATGTTATTTAAGCAGAAGACAATGATAATCTGACATTTAGTGTTTCATTTATTTTCTTTTTTCTTTTTTTTTCTTCTTCAAAATTTTGGGGGAATTTTTCTCAATATATTTCAGCTTACAAGTGCTTCTTTCTATTGATACCCCTGCCTCATCTTGAAAAACCAAGGGTTGGTTGATTATTTTATAACTAGTCAGTAAGGCATAAGCAAATAATTCCAATGTAAATGCTGCCAGGTAAGCCCGGGGCTGACATCCCATTTGTCCAGTTGAAGCAAGCTTACTAATGGGTAGTCATGGGCTCACATCAGGGATAGACAATATCCCAGACCTGTTCATATTCATTTGTCACCTATGAATCAACAGATTAGCAACCCTGCAATTGCCAACTCAGTCATGATTAAAAGCAATGAATTGGAAGGGGACGGAACAATTCTTCTCTTTCAACCTAGTTATGTTATGATTCTTTCCAAGCCAATGCACCTAAAAAATTGATGCTAGTATTTGAAACATGTAAAACCACAACTGATTCTTGATCAATATGCCTAGCAAAATAACAACTTATTCTGCAAACCTTGTAACAATATAACAAAACATAGTTTACTCACTTTTGCAAATTCATGGCAACCAAATTATTGGAGATCAAGGACCTAGACCTAAATAGGAGCACTTTTCATACTTTTCATTCATGTGGATTTATTTTGCCAATTCAAAATGTTTGATTCAGTATCTTACTCTTTCTTAAAAGTGAGAAAATCAAAAGGGACAGAGATCACTCTATGTTTGCACCCTCATGGAGTTGACATTGAAAAGATACAAGTAACGGTTAGGTGGATGAACAACTTAGGGCTTAGATTGAATACTCCTCCTAACTAAAAAGTATACTTGTGCCAGTGGATGATTTCAATACTCTTTCCTTTTGGAAAATATTTGACATGATCATCCCAAAAATCACTTAATAACATCCTAAAATTCATGGAGGATAAAACTTGGTTGTTGTTGCTGGTGATGATGAAAGTTGAGAAAACATTGTCCATAACTTTATACTAGCAGGCTAAGGCTGAAAGACCAGATGACCTGAATCTGCCATATATTTATGTGTTCAAATCTATAAGGGGTTGTCCCAAAAAAGAAGTCCATGCTTACAGCCTTGCACATTCGGATAAGCCCGAACAGAACAGCTATGCAAAAAGAACAACTGATGACTAACAAAAATAACGAATTTTTTTTAAAAGAAACAGTGGAAACATCAATGGAACAAAGCGGTCCAATCCCTCTGCATATCTGTTATAAAATTCCACTGGAAAAGACAATGACCAAAACCCTAATCATCCGCTTCAAACAATTAGGAAGCAGAACTTGATTATTAAATTGCTTGGATTGTCTCTGCCAGAAACTATTTAACACCTATTCTTCAAAATCTGCAACATTTCAACTTCTGAACTAATGTTACCACAAATTATCAAATCTTCAAAACCTGCCACAAATGCCTCATAGTTCAACGTTTTCTAAGACGCACTCACACTCTACCACCACAATCTTACGTTCTTCTCAAATATATTACTGGAGAGAAAAGAGAAAACGAAAATTTCTTTCTGATAAAATCGAATTCTAACAGACCGTGAGAGAAATCCCTTTTGACAACGAAGTAAGAAAACTTACGTAACTCACTCTCTCTCTCACACACACACGCGCGCGCACAAGCACGCACACACATAAATATATGTAAAGGCTTCCCCACAGATAAACCATGTTTGGTAAAGTGCAGAAGGTGAAAGAGGAAAATCTGAATAAGCTGTTAAAAAGAAAAACTGTGCCGGGAAAAAACAAAACAGAACAAACATGGCGCAACTTACTGTGAAACAGCAGAGCTCGGCAAGACTGATTTTATTTTATTTTTTCACTGTGTCACGTTTTGTCGATTGTTGGGAGCAAAGTAGGAAATTGAAGAAATCGGAATAACCATTAAGAGAGAGCGATCTTGGATGTTGTATTTATAGGTGTACCGTATAACAATGAAACGAGGTTTTGGGCAGTTCAGTTTTTCTGTTTTGGTGGATTTTCGGGGAACCCTTGTGCGGGAACCTATTAGAAACAGAGACAGAAGCAAATTTTGGACGAGCCCACAACTTTTTATATTTGCACAGGTAAGTGTTCAAAATTCAGTTTGCCTTCTTATTGCAAAATCATGTTTTGTGCCATAATTACGGCTACCCACACCGATGGGGTTTACTTGGTGTTACAAGATTTTGATGTCATCAAATTATTCAGAGATTATTTTGATTAGCTGTATTAAAAGAAATATACTTTTGTAATTCTATTTCAACTAATTTATAATGAATTTAACGCTACACGATTGGATTGAAAATAATTCATTTTTTAATAACTCAATTTTTTAAAAATATTTTAGCAAGATAGATAGACTATAGGCCATTAAAAAAACTATGCTTGAAAGTCAACAGTTTTTAAGTTTTTAGCAGCTCATATAAAGTTTAAATTTTTAAATTTTTAAATATATAAATGATTAGGCTTTTTTATTTAAATTAAATAATTTTAAAAACTATTTTCAAAAATAAAGTTAATTAAAAATTATTTATCAAACTTGTACTTTTTTTGACACGTCACTTGGTGTATTGAACTACATGAGCCATATAATTTTTTTTTTATTTTTTAAAATAATATCGTATATCTCATTTCAATACTAGTATTAATGACATACAAGTGCAAAAGAAATTTATCTTTTTCTTTGGGAAATACTATAATTTTTACTTTTGTGACGATATTACTGTGGTAGATATTATGCGAAATGTTTACACGTGACATTAATTTAAAAATATTTAAATTTATAAATTTTAAAAAATAAAATTAAGAATTATAAGAATTTAATTTTAATTTTAGCATTAATGATTAGTAAAAAAAAATAAGTTGTGATAAGTTTAATGACATATTTTTTATAATAATATAAATTAAATTTATAATTGATTGAGTTATAAAATTAAAAATTTTAAAAATAAGAATATGAATTTTAAAATAAAATTAGGAATAATAAAAAATTCTTATTATAGTTAATTTTTAGTAAAAAAATAGTTAAAATAAATTTAGTTGACATAACATGCATAAAAATAAAAATTAAATTCATAATTATCTCACTTATTAAAATTATAAATTTTAAAAATATTATTAAACATTGTAAGATATTTATTTTAATTTTAGAATTAATTATTAATAAAGATAATCTTAATTATTTTTTGTATTCATAGTTTTAAATATTTTTTTAAAATTTATAATCTTAAATATTTTTGAAATTCATAATGTTAAATATTTTTAAATTTAAATCTTAAAAATATTTTAAATTTATAATCTTAAATTTATAAATTTAAATATTTTTAAATTATAATTTTA